TCATACACTTCCGGCGTGTGATATGTATTGGTCAAAAGACCCAGATAAAGGCGTGGAGTTCGTGAGAAAGTGCATGAGTCAAAAACCTTTCAAAACATAAAAAAAAATGTTCTATGTCTCCGATAATAATAACTTTACATAATAATGTTATAATAATAACAGACAAAAATGATAAATTTGACAAGATACGTCCATTATTTTTGTTGATGAACGAACGATATTTGCAGTTTGGACTATTTGCCCATAATATGTATATATATAAACAAATGGCTCTTTATTTTGGCCGACATTTTGCAAAAATGTTTATGAACGCTAAACCAGTGCGATTTGGCTTCAAGGTCTGGTGCTTGTGTAGCTCAGAGAGATATCTATACCAATTCATTTTTATGGTGGCGCAAATCCAGAAGGCCGAAATCTCAATACACATTAGGGACGAAGTAGTTTTGGATCTGCTACGTGTAATGTACTGTGTACAGAATATAGAGTTTTCTTCGACAGCTTCTTTTCGACTTAGGCACTATTCCACATTCTAGGTGAGAAAGGAATTTTTTTTACTACCACCGTGAGAGAGAATGGGTTACCAGGATGTCCTCTAAAAAGTAGCAAAGTGCTTGGAAAGAAGAACAGGGGCGAGTTTGATCATGCTTTCGACAAAAAGGCAGAAGTAGGTATCAGTTGCAATGTGGAACGATAATACCGATGTGACTGTGGCCAGCAACAATGGAACGGTTCATACAATTGTTACAGTTAAAAGATATAATCGGAAGCTACGAAAGAAAGATTAAAGACCTAAGCCTAATATGATTAACGATTATAACCGACATATGGGAGGGGTTGATCTAGATAATTCGGTATTGAATTATAGGATCCGAGTAAGAAGTAAAAAGTGGTGGTGGCCCTTGTTTATGAACCTTGTGGATTGTACAGTTGTAAATTTATAGAGAATTTAAAGATTGCAAATGACTCTCGTTTCTCCCAATTGCAATTCCGTTCTTCGTTGGTTTTGTCACTGATACAGAACGAAAAAAGATTTACAGTAAAAATAGCTGCTGAAGAAGGTGACTCCGAATCAGACCCAGAGCCAACGCCATCCACATCTGCATGGGGTCGTCCTTTTAAAGGAAGTTTACCTTCTGATAATCAATATGACCAGACTGGTCATATTATCGTTCGCGAAGAGGAGAGAGGTAGACGGCGGTGCATACTGTGCAACACAATTCTGTTTATATGTGCGGAAAAGGCAATGTTTACTTGCACGCTGACTGTTTTAAGGCTTTTCATAAAAAATGAGATGTCATAATGACGCTAGTGCCATACTACCATACTGCCAAGTAATCACTTTATCTTATATAATTAACTCTTGTAGCAATATCTATAGTTTTTAGTTGATACACCAAAAAAATGTCATTTACACACTATAAAAAGGATAACTTTCAATTTACTACATATATTCTGCCAGAGTTACGTAAACGAAACAATATTTTTTTTGTATATTGCAATTTTTATTGTTTATTATTTTAGGTGAAATTTTGTTCTTATGCCCTTATTTATAAAGTATATAAACACGATTTGCAAATAGTCTGATTATTTCAATGCTTGGCCATTAATGGGCTGTCTTAAAATAGAAACGAAAAAAAAATGCCCTAAACGCACTGTTAGTTTAGGAAATAACTCATTTGTTTATATATTATATTTCCGTCCATTTGCTTATACATTTTAAGTCATAATAATAAGCATATCACAACAACTTTTTTTTTAGTTAAGGCAGCCGCATTAACCATATTGGTTATTAGCGGATGAATTTAATGAAAACAATAATAGTTACAAATAACAAAATAAATAACATGCTTATATGTGGTTCAATATGCTACAGTCTTTTAAGAATTTCACAATATTTTCCCTGGTACACTCACTAAAAATGTCCCTTAGAACTGATGGAATTTTATTAGTTAGTCTTTCAGCACTACATTTGGGACACTCCACTAATACGTGTTTCAGTGTTAACGGCACGTCACAACTCGTACATTTTGGTTAAGGTTCCTTCTTCATGAAATATTCATGTGTGAGTTTGCTGTGTCCTAATCGGAGCCTGGTTAATACAACCTAAAGGAAACGGCTAGGGGCGTTGTTAGTCCATCGTCCAAAATTTGGTTTAATTCCTTTTAACTTAACTGAGAATTTTTCTTCTTAATATTTAGTCCAATTACATATAAGCTTTTGTTTAAAGTACGGATTGAGATCTTCTGCTAATGGTTTTATTATCGTCTAATATTTGAAGAATTTGCTATTTCTCGAGCATTTTGATCTGCTAGTTCGTTTCCTTTAATGCCTATATGTGATGGTACCCACACGAAGACTAATGTTTTGTTTTACAGCTGCTGCATCTTGTTTTTAATTAATTTAGCTATCGGGTTGCAAGTGTACATTTTTGACAGGATATGAAGGGAATTTATTGAGTCAGCAATAATAAGGAATTTATCTGGTTTGACTGTTTTTATGTGAATTAGAGCTCTGTATATTGCATACAATTCTCCAGTTATCACAGTGGATTCTGTGGGCAATTTAAAACTTTTTATTATATCTTTTATAACAAATGATGATTTTACACCAGAAGTTGTTTTAGATGCATCTGTGTAAACTAGGGTATATTCAGGGAAAGAAGAAAGTATTCCATTATAATTGCTTATAAATATTTGTGGATTAGTTTCAGATTTATGATATAATGATAGTTCTAAATTTAAAGTAGGCGAAGGTATTAACCAGGGAGGTGGCGTGTTTACGTTTGCTGAATGTGTTGAGGGAAAGTTAAAAATTTCAATAGAATTTAAAATGTTTTTGATCCTTAATTGAAATGGTAAATGTGTTCTTATATTGATATTTGATAAAGATGATTGGGTAAGAAAATGGTTGTCAGGTTTTAGTGATGATTGTTTTGAAGCGTAAGATAGACTAAGTAATTTCCGTCGTTCATGTAATGATGGCTCTCCACGTTCCCATTTGAGGCATGTAACAGGAGTTGTTCTATAAGCTCCAGAGATAATGCGTAATGCATTGTTGTGTATAACGTCTAAGAATTTTAAATTTGATTTCGTCGCTGAAGAATATGCAATGCATCCGTGGTCCAATTTTGATGTTATATCGCCAATTGTTTAATATGTGGTTTCCAACTTACAGTTTCGTCGAAAGTTATGCCTAAATATTTTATCTTCGTTTTAAAAACTTTGTGCCGAATTTTAAGGCAGGTATGTTAGTGTGAATAGTCTTTTTGAAAAAAATTATATATTGTGTCTTGTCAGCTGAAATATAGAATCCACTTCTATTAGACCAACTTTCGATTTTATTTAGTTCTTCTTGTAAAAGTTTGACCATCGAGTCAATATTTTTTCTTTTGATAAACATTACCATATCATCAGCATATAATCTAGCCTGTGCAGGTCTCTTGAGATTTTTTATAACATCATTCATTGCTATTAAAAAAAGTGTAGTGCTAATTACAGATCCTTGTGGTGTTCCATTGTCTTGAGACTTAACACTAGAAAGTTCTCCATTACTACGTACTGAAAATTTGTGTTCATTTAGAAAGTTATTCAAAAATGCCAACATGTTTTCTTGAATTTCTCAAGTCTGCAGCTTTGATAATATTATGTGTCGCCATGCTGACTCAAATACTTTGTGGATGTCAAAGTAAACAGCTATGCATTTCTGTTTGTTACAGAAGGCTTCATTAATTTGACTTTCTAAATGTAAAACATTGTCTATAGTAGATTTTGAAGGACGAAATCCAGCTTGTTCCGGTATAAGTAAATTGTGATGTTTCAAATGCCACAAAGTCTATTATTTATTATTTTCTCTAGCAGTTTGCAAGTAAAACATATAAGTGATATTGGCCTATATGATTATGCCGCTGTAGCCGGTTTGTTAGGTTTTAGTATACGGATGACAATAGCTTCTCTCCAAAAGTCAGCAAATTTTTGTTTACACCAGATTGTATTAAAAAGATTCAATAGAAAGTCTAAAGCTTCGTTAGGTAACTGTTTTAAGAATATTGAGGGTATGTCATCTGGACCTGGTGATGTGTCTTTTAACATTTGGATTGTTTCTAATACTTCTGTTTTATTAATTGGAGTATTTATATCATCGTTATTGGCTATAATTTCTATTGGATTTACTTCTTCTTGTTCCAGATATCGTAAAAAAGTATTACTGTAATTTTCATTTGTAGATTGTTCTCTGTATATTTCAGCTAATTCTTCTATAATTTTTTTGTTTTCATTAATTATGTTTCCATTTCGTTCTAGGTATTTTTCTCCAAGACTCTTTTTTAGATCTGGTAGTAATCAATATATAAATATAATTTCCATATATATCGTCTACGGTTTGCCATGTGTGATTTAGTGACGTCGATGGGTCTGAAATAGACAAGTCAATAGCTGAAAAATTTCCAGTAGCTGCGTCGAAACGAGTTTTAGCTCCGTTGTTCATTATTGTTAAATTCATGCTATTGATTACGTTTGCTAATAACTTTCCATTTTTAGTTGTTTTTTCGGAACCCCATAGAAGATTATGGCTGTTAAAGTCCCCAAGAATTAATTTTGGTGATGGAATTTGCATAATTAAGTCGGAAAGTTCATTTCCTTGGAAATTTTAGTTCGGGGGAATATAAATGTTACATATGTTCATTTTTTGATTAGTACCTATTGTTACTGTTACTGCTATTGCTTCTAAGTTTGTATTAATTCTGATTCTGTTTACTTGTAAATCGGTTTTAGCATATATCGCAACACCGCCACTTGCATGATTTGTCTGTCTATTTAGATAGTAAATATTATGTGACTTCAAGTTATACGCATTGTTGCCTTTAAAATTAGTTTCTTGAAGACATATAATATTAGGTGAATATTTCCTAATAAGTACCTGAAATAAGGGTAGGCGGGTGTGAAAACTGTTTAAGTTCCACTGTAAAATATTATTATACATGAATTATGTTTTTATTTAAATAGTTAGTTTTGAGATATATTGCTGTGTAAGTCAGATGAACCAACATGTTTGAGCAGTTGCTTAGTTAATTTTTTAATTAGTCTAGTACGTTTAGTTTTCATATTTCGATCTTCAGCCTGGGTATTTATTTCATTTATCATTTCTATAAGAGATGGAGTAGGTAGGGTATAGTCTTTAGCAATGCTTAATGCATCATTACTACCGTGAGTATTTTCTAACAGATCAGTGAATTGTTGACTATCGAGTGGGAACTTGGGATTGTGATTGTCAATAAAATTGGTTATCTTCTGGGGCAATTCTCGAAATTCTAATGAGGGTTTATCTTTCGACTTCAACTTTTTCTTTGGAACTTTTGGAACAGGTGTTGGAAAGTAAGATTTTGGCTCTGAGGAATTAGTAATATTTGGTGTATCTTTTGGGCTAGGTGTTGCAATTTCAGATAAATTTCGTTTGGAGGTCGTAGGTTTAGTTATCGGAGTTGTTTGAAATTCAAAAGAAGCGGGTATGTCGGGATTGGGCTCATTAAATATAGGAGTAATTGATGTTTGTTCAAATATCATTTCAGGGTTAGTAGTATTTGATATATATACTCACCTACATTATTGCTGTCTAATAAATGGTTTAGAGAGGAACTTTGTTGTTGTGATCTTGTATATGAAGAAGTTGAAGTTTGGAGTTGAAGGCCGGCACATTGAGATGCAAAATAACCTAGTTGCTTGCACTTATAATATAATGAATCTGTTGTAAGAAGTATGCGATATTTTAAGTCATCATAATTAATTTCTAGTGTATCGGAAATTGGGAAACTATCGCCTGGAGGAGATATGTACACCTGCCTTCGAAAACTAAGTATGTGACTATACGCTGGATCGGTTGCTCCAATTCGTAAGAATGTAAGGAGAGACATTAGCTGTAATCCAATGATTTTTAACTAAGTTTCCAATAAATTATGTGGAATTGTGGGACTTACGTTGGATAGAACAAGTCTTTGTGACGGGTTAACTAGCTTTCGTACTGGTATTACTGTGTTTTGTCTATAGCTGATTTACTTGATAAGTATACACAAACACGGTTGTTTGAAATTCTGCATAAAAAAATTATGTTTTTTGGATCTATAAGTGGTCCCAGTTCTAATAAATAATCTTGTAATTTGAGGCCCTCTATTGCAGAAAAGATAATTGCCTGATCTTTGCTAGGAAAAGTTATTGGTGAGTAAATCAATGCTGTGGAGTATTTTTTAGTGTTTGGTGAGTTCTCAGTCTCAATAATAACATTGCCGTTATTACTATTCATTTCGGTCGTTTTCGATTTTTCGGTTTCATAAATTCGGCTGAGTACGGTTCTGTTTTATTTAAAAGTTGACGAGCAACCAGATTTTGATAATTGCTCTTCTTATTTTATCCAAATTGTTAGGTTAGTTAGGACAATAATTTATTCAGTTTATTATCACGCAATCAAACAAAATCAAAGTTTTCTTTACTCACGTATGATTTCTTGCACTTAAACAATCACTATAATTACTTTAGTCTCACAACAACTTTGCTTTATATAATTTAAAATTTGATTTTTTTTAATATTCTAGTTCATACTCTCTACTCAATTTTATCACGAAAGAAATTATTGACGAAAAAGCATGGGGAATCCTCTGGTAAAAGCAAAAATTTAGTTAGCATTCCTTCAACGCAGAAGTGAGCGTGATGCTCATTTCGCAATCTTCTCCATTAGTGAAAAAATTTCCATCGAGAAATTTATTCATGAAAATAGAGAGGAGGCCTCACCTCTCAATCTGCTCTCCCATCGCTGGAAGTGTCCTCGATATTTTCTTAATTAAAATGCATCTTATATTGATGGAATATTTTATTAGAGATAGTGCTGCATATTTTATGTGAAAGCCCTTGGCATATATAAAAAGCGATGGAGATGCATAGGCAAAAATTAGATTTCGAGCTGCATATTATGTAGGATATTTAAATATTTATTATTAAATATTAAAATTAATTATAAAACAATGGAATATAGAACGAATTCCATTTTGTTAGCAGAAGCAAACAATTCACACGCATATCAATTACACTGGTGTAGGACTTATTAATCGGATACCGTTACTTCTTTGTCAACCATTTTAAATCCACTCCTGAATGTAGGTCTCTTCCAATTGCTTCCATCTTTCTCTATCTTGCGCCAATCTAATCCACTGTTTGCCTGCCACTGCTCTTATGTCATCTACCCATCTTTTTTGAGGTCTTCCCGTTGCTTCTTGTTGTCGTCCTTGGTCTCCATTCTAGAACTCTCCGTGTCCACCTGTTGTCATTATATCGGGCTACGTGACCTGCCCAGCGCCATTTCATTTTTGTAATTTCTTCCACAATATCCCTAATCTTCGTTCTACGTCGTATCTCGTCGTATCTAAACACCGAGATACGACGAGATACCGTTACAATGAAATTTAAATCAAAAGTTCATCGTAAAGTTTTAAGTGGTCAAACTCGTGAAATTACAGCAAATGTAATATATTTTATAAAACGAGAAGCGGAGGCTAAACATCCGATTATAGAACTAACTAAAATTCAAGAACGTGTTTCGCGCAACTGGTGTTAGTGTTGGTTTTGTAAAGCAAATTTCAAAGGAAATGAGAGTAGCTGAAGATGGTGAAAGTGATTCGTTCCATACACCTAATAATAAAAGACAAAAAGGTACGACCAAAACTAAGTTGAATAATATGGATAAGGAAATTCGTCGGAGATTTTTAATAAATTTTCACGTCCACGAAAAAAAAAGATCCTACATTGAGAGGCATATACAGTACATTTGTCAATGAAATTAATTACACAGGATCGTATGAAAGTTTACGAAAAGTAATATATTAAATTGGTTTTCGTTGGCGAGACAAAGAAAAAATTGCTTATGGAAAAACCTGACATCCAACAAAAAAGGATAGCTTTTTTGCGAAGTTTTAAGAAATACAGAAACGAAAATTGTCCTATAGTACCTACGCTAAGTAGTGTATGCTTTTATAGAATAAAATAACTATTTTTGCCTGTTTACTTATTGCATTTTTCTAAGTAAAACAAAGAGGTGATTTATTTTGTTAATAAAAAAAAAGAGGTTAATCTTTGTAAGTGGGTATATTTATTTAAAAACCCTTAAAAGGGCTACATCAAAAAAACAAACGTTTTCGGACTAAACAGTCCATCATCAGGTTTAAAATCTGCTAGGTTAAAATGCCTGAGCCACCAAAAATACATGGGTAAAAACCCTTTAAATTACTTATAGTTATCAAAAATTATACATCTTGTTAAAAAACTGTGATGTTAATTATTAAATTAAATATGACTTCAGGTAACATACATTGCAAAAAGTTTGGAGTTCCATATTTTGTTAATGTTAATGAAATTTATTGTTTTTTGATAAAATTTTAGTAAATGGTTTAATTAGTGAATATTTGTTTTTTTTTTACTCCATACTCTGGCTTATCTAAATAAATACTTAAATCAGTTGCAACAATTTTTTTAAGAAAATGACTCTTTGCGAGGTGTATTTAAGCATTAGTAATTAAAAAATAAAAACATTCGCAATTTCTTAATATTAATTTGATGACGATGTTAATTTGACGGCACGTCACCAGTTGCGTGACAACTGTGGCACGTCACCAGTTACGGGTTAAATGTACAAACTATTTAAAGAAGATCGGTTATTTCTATATTAGTAAAATTTCTGTATCTGCAATAATACCGAAGATTTCCTACCTTTCTATGTTTTGCCCACGTAGTAATTATAGATTAATAGATATGAAATACCATGGTTGAAACAGTTTCTTAATATTAGTAGTTACTCTTTGATTTTCCTTCATCTTAAAATTTTCAGAGTACGATTCCTTTTAAACCATCCTACTAAACTTAAATCCGTAACGTTTAAGTATAATTCTAGCGAACCTTCACACAGAACTCTAAAACAGTTGATTAAAAGTATTTCGTTCGCATTTTGCTTTTATTCGAAGCAACAAATGAACAAACAGTAACGGAATCTGAGCTCTCTGGGACGCAGCGAGTTCTACTTAAATTAGATTAGATGGTTCAATGGATTGTTACAGTCAATACTCAAATGAAAACTCTTTTAAATTCAGTGTGGCGTTCGTGTTCTTTTTTTAAGTTTTCATCCTACACAAACAGGGTCGACTTCTAGTTAAGATATAGACTCAGGGCGTTCAATGATAGATGTTAAAATTTATAGGAATTTGAAAGAATTTTTTTTACCGATTTGGTATCTTTTAGTAGATATTTAGAGCAAAAATATAACTTCTTCGAGTTAATCTAGAATCAGGAAAATTTAGGTACTTTATTAAGTTGTTTTAACACTTTGACCGCCATGTGTATCCAAAAGTATACACACGTGAGGGTCAAAATCGCTGCGTATATACTTTTAGATACACATCTAAAGTTTTGGTTGGAGAGCCATGTGTATATTCAAAGAGCGCAGAACCTATGCAATTTATATGGGTAAGTAACTGTCGTGGCCGAAGGCTGCATAAAAATATACTTAGCACTAGGAAATTATAAACTTGCATTTTTTATTACGATTTTATTAGCAACACCGTTTTATACTATTGATCACATATAGTAATACGGCAACCTTGATGGTAAATAATGGTAAATAATAAATAACAATTAACTATTTATTACAAAAGTTTTATGTACGTACAAGTAAAAAAGTTAACAAAAACTTTTACACGATAAAAGAAAGAAAAAAATTTAAAAAAACTTAAAAAATTATTTTGTATTTCCTCTTCCTTCTAGTATGTCGGCTTTAAAGCCTGTTGTTTCTTTAGTATTAGCCTCCTAAATTGTTTAAATTGTCGCACCATCTTTTTCTTGGTCTGTCAATACTTCTTCATCCATACGGTGACTTATCTCGTGCTATTCGTACTATTCTATCCTCTGCCATTCTTCTGATGTGTTCGTTACACTCCTGTTTTCGTTTTGTCACCCATCCATTTTTGTCTTCTATAGTGCATGCTCTTCTTATGTTTTCATTTCTCTCCCTATCCAACAGACTTCTCTCTGATATTCGTCGGAGTATCTTCATCTTTGTTGTTTCTAGCAGTCGTCTTGATTTAGATGTGTCAGGTCTTATTTCCGCCGTGTATGTTAATGTAGGTCTAATTGCTTCTTTATAGATTCTTGTTTTTGTGTCTTGTCTTAGGTGTTTGTTCTTCCAGATTGTGCCATAAAGAGAACACGCAGCTTTACTTGCTTTTAAGCTTTGTTGTGGTACTTCTTCTTCAACAGCTCCGTAACTAGTTATATCCTAAATCTTAATCTTAAATCTCTTAAAAATTATATTCTATTATAAAGAATATGATTGTCAAAAAAGCATTCCCGACACAAAAAAATTTCCTCCAAAGTTTCACATTTGGTTTTAATTTGCCTTGAATTTTTTGTTGCGTATGCGGTATAATTAGCATCCTCAAACTTTTTGTAGCATATAACAAAATGTCCTTTTTTTAGTTGGGATCAATCTG